AGAGTTCCTGCTGTACAGGAATAAGGCTGTTTTTGAATGAATCTGGTCACAATGGCTATCAGACCTGTGGACCTTAATGTGGACCGGTTCGATGTACCTGGGTTCCTTACAGAATTCCTGTTGCATGGGGATATGGCTTGGTGTAGACTTGGATGCGACCCCCTGTTTCACTGGCTTGGACATTCTCATTTCGGGCCATGTCACGGAGACATGGGTGGGGACACTTTTTTTTTTTAGTGAATCTGGTCATAATCCCCGTTAGATTCAGTTGTAAAGTTCAGTCTTGGGGGCCTTAATATAATCTGGTGTGATTCAATGCGTATCGCTTCCTTGCAGGATTCCTGTTGTACAAGGACCCCGGCCACGTGGGACGGCCACTGTGTGGGGACGTGTTTTTGAGTGAATGCCGTCATAATCCCTGTCAGATTCAGTCATGAAGTACAGTCTTAGGGACCTTAATAATCTGGTGTGATTCAATGTATATATGGCCTCCTTGCAGGATTCCTATCGTACAGGGATATGGCTTGACGGAGACGTGCGCGGGGTCATGTTTCACCGACTTCGACGATCTCTTGACCGGCCGTGTGGGACCACCACTGTCCTGTTGTTTTATTAAGGTGCGATCACTCCGTCCAACTTTCTTCTTTTTTTATTTTTTTGGCTCCATCCAGCTTTTTACGACCCTGTGGAATTAAATCTAATCTCAGATTAAACAACCCCAAAAAAAGGTAAAAAAAATCTGATCGAACTGCCGATACTTCCCCACCCGTATGCGGCCATCCAGTGCTACAGTGCCCGTTTTTTCCACTTGACTGAATTTATGCCATCGCGCATTTGCTGCGACGTTTCCACTTCGATAAATTTATACCATCGGCCCCCAGTCCTGTCCACTGTACTCACCACATGCACAAAGACAAAAAATATGGTGGTGTATCTTCCCATGTTTCAGCAGAAGATTCATTACCATTTTGCACATTTGGTGAGTAGTGGAGCCAGGCCCCAAGATTCAGAACTTTGCTGTTCTGTGAGGGTGCTCTCGCCCCCTCCAACAGTTTACGAGGCCTTCCGCGTGATGCTCTTCGCTTTTCATTGGTAATTTTTTTGTTTTTGTGTGTGATTTGTTTCTTTTTTCAAGTTTTTTTAATTTGTGTGTGTGTGTGTGTGTGTGTGTGTGTGTGTGGGACACTACGCGTGTCACTGAGATTTTGGCCTTGCCACACGGTTGCGAGGATCAGGGTCCTCGGTAGGCCTATGGGGCCCTGTCTGCAGCCTTACCCGCCCTAAGTGAAGGCGGAGGTGCCCGCCCTAAGTGAAGGCGGGCCTGGATTTTTGCAAAAGGCCTTCGACTGTCAATTTCATATTTGGGGTTCAGGCAGTTGGGACGCGCCAGTTGGTTGAAAGAAACACAGGCCGAGCAACAAAGACATGTCCACGGCCTACCGGGCCTTTCCAAAGAATGCAGGCCCTGGCCGTGATTCGCAGCCTCATACAGAGACAGTTGGGCGCCCAACCGAACGAGGCCC